TTGAGTAGCTCGCGATCTGTCTCGTCTCATTTACAACCCTAATTGGACCTGCAGTGATAATTGGATTATTCTTTCATAATAGATTCGTCCTTTTCAGCTCTATTCGATATCGATCCACAACCACCTATCAACCTTGTGCAATATATCTGAAACTCGAAACATGATCAAGTGTAAATACAATAGATTTGATGTAGAAGTATAGATGATTTGGAGACAAAAGTACAAAGAATCAAAGCAAACCCCTTTATTATATGGATGAATTAAATATGATAAAATGCAATGAAATCTAACAACTAAGATACAGTAATTACCTAAGGTTGTACAAAACCTGAACCTAAGGATGCTAATATAACTCTTATTACGGAGTTATCACTAAGCTTGTGTATATACTTCATAGATGGCAAGATTTGGTGGAGTAGTATCTATACTTGTGTGTATTCCTAGCTGATGGTTTTCTTTTGGGATTAATTAATTCGTAAATTCCAATGCATATACATCTAGTGAAGGATTTTCGACACTTAATTGGAGGAGTTATTTAGACCGACAATCATGTAGCGTACTATGCCGATGTCTTTGTAAATTTTGCTCAAGTTTGTTGTTTGAGCATGTAACAACCCGAATTTCAATACTCGAATCCGATCAATTTTTTTAAAAAAAAAGTAGAAGGGACTCGTTAAAAATCCCCTTGTAGCTTGATCAAGATAAGGCTTAACTGCTACAGCGGAAGGGGAAAAGAGTATCCAAAGATTATATACATAAATACCCAAAGTAAGTTATTGTCTTTTTATATAAATATTAAGTGATTTCAATGTTTGGGAGGTGATAGATCATTTTTTAAAGGAATTTGATTTTCGAATCTGATGTTGGATAAATTATGAAATATTTTATATCAAGTGTGTTTTCCTCAATTAATTATTATTTTAGTAGACAATAAATGATTCTTTTATATTTGAAACTATTCGATTGATTTTCTATGAAATTTGACTTTTTCAAATATGATATCAAATATTTGTATGAATTATTTTATATTAAATATATCGTAATGGTTTTGAATATAGGCGAATTCCAAATATTATTTTGAATATTGAGTTGAGATTTAAGCAATTTATTATTATATATAAGTGTGTATTTGGTTTCAAATTAAATTGAATTTTAGCTGTAAATATACGTACCCAACTAAACTCAGAGCAATTTAGTAAATATTCCACGTCTTTACGAGCAACACCTCAATAAACCTGTAAAAGAAAATGGCAACCCAACTCAGAGCAAACATAAGAAAATAAAAGGAAAAAACAATGAAACTCTGACGAAGAAGAAAGCCCCGATTCCGGTGATCCATGCGATGATTTGTGAATCCCAACAGTGGGATTGACTATCATCTCGACACCTCGACTCGAGAACTATAGTGTGAAGTCAATGACTGAACTCAACATTATTTATTAGGGGATCATTTTAAAAATGTATATATTAGTTAAAATATTTTATTATTTTTATCTGAAATAAAATTAAAAGTTGAATATTTAACAATTTAATTGAAGTCCTCAATTCAAAAAAGATGACCAACCAAATAAAAAAAGATAAAAATTTTGTATCTTGAAATCAGGAAAAAAAATAAAGAAGGATATATATTAAGAATTAAGGATCAACTTAAGAAATAAGGACCAAATTAAAATGTTTTGTTTAAAATATAAAAATATTTGGTTTCTTCTATAAATTTAATTTAAAAATATAAAAATAATAAATTTAATTTAAATTTATAAAAAATATTAAAATTATTTTATTTTATTTAAAAATATATAATTGATAATGTTATGAAATACATAGTTGTTGATGCAAAGAACTAATCAAATAATATATTTGGTTCAGGGACTAGGGTATTGTTTATACCTAAGGTAACCCAGGTTCAAAATCCCACATGCACTTCTAGCTATTTTTTATCCAATCAAGATAATATGTATCATTTGATTGGATATAAAATTTATTTAATTAAATAAATTAAAAAAAATCATATAAGGTGGTGACATATGTCACATCCTGATTGAAGAGTTAATTTATTAAATTAAATTTAAATTAAGATCAAATTTATAGAATATACATATATTGAGGATTAAATGTGTAATTATGAAATTTTTAATTAACTATCATGTCAGCACTTTCATTAAATATAACGACAAATGACTTGATTGATACCATTTAAATAGTTAAATAGTCTGATTGATAAAATTAAAAACTCGATGATTAAATTGAAAATGAATAATAGTTAACTGGTTATACGTATAATTCACATTTAAAATTAAATTCTTAAAATAGATCAATCTTGTAGTGGTCATTAACTTCTTTTTAATATTTACTTACTAAAGATAATTTATTTAATGTCGTATTTTGGTGTATCACTTTAGTTGTGTATTTCGGTGTACAATATTCGCTTTAGAATTTTTCATAATTATATACATTTTTCTTTGGGTAAGTACAAGATAATATCTGTTTAAAAATAATTCTCAATCTTTTGATATTTAACACTCGTACCCCTAGTATTTTTGGTGCTCGAACTCTAAATATAAAAAAATAACAATAATTCTTTTATCATCGAAGTCATTGGGTTTTTTGTTCGTAAATATATACTTATCTGATAATAATAATTATATTTTAAATTATAGGTTAAAAAATTGAGACAAATTAGTTAATTATCTTAATTCCTAACGGTTTTGCTTTATAAAAAAATCCTCACCGTATGATAAATATAAGAAAATATGGGCCGTTGGATTGAAAGAGATATAGGAGTAGTGTTAGATAAATAAAACCAGGTCTCTTCGCGGCCGCTAATTCTCTCTCCTTTCCCTCTTCATCTCAGGGAACCCGCTCCTCGACCAGATCCGATACCCGCCAATATAATACGATCCACTGCCTGTTACGGAACTACGTTCTACACTTTTTTTTTCTTTTCATTTCACATATGATTTTGCTTTCAACTTTTATGATTTTATCGAGGAAATGTGCTTTCTTTGTGATTTTGTTTATTTATTTTATTATTTTCCCTTTCTCGTGCTTGCTATCATGCTGAAAATGAACGGTAATTTCCCCCCCTGGGGGGATTCACGTTTTTTTTTATATGGGGAATAAATTGGACCTGATTCTTGCATTCCTTCTCTAAATCGAAACAGAATTAATTTGTTGTTTTTCTTTTAATTCTAAATCCCATATATTTTTTTTTTTAAAAAAATCGTTAATTTTAGGAGCAACAAAAGTGTAAGTTAAACTGCATGTTAATTGTATTTATTATTGAATTTCTAGAACGTATGGTTCTTATAGAATGGGATTTCTTTTAAAAACTTTAAGGGAATGAAGAAAAAAATGGAAAGAAAAAGTTATTGGATCTTTCATAGGTGCTATGTTTACTGATTTGTTCCATTAAACTGATGTTTTATGATGAAATCCTCGTTGGTGATACTGTTTAACTTGTTATCTTGCATATATAAGATATGTCACAACTTGGGTAATTTACAATTTTACATTCTAATTCATTGAACTTAGTGTCGATTTTCGTGTATGTCCCAAAACTTTATTTTTTTCAAATTAATTCACTGAATTTCTATTTTTAATAAATTATGTCGCCTATGCTAGCTTCTGTAAGTAAATTTAATGGAAACACTAACCCAGTATGCATATGGAACTTATCTTTTCTCGTCATTAGTAATAATTTATTCTACTTGCGTACATGACCTTTTTTCATGACCGTCTGTTTTCATTTCTAAACTGGATTCCATAATGCCGGCATGAGAAAATATTTCATCTAAAGTGCTAGTGAGGCATTATCTTTGATGACAATGTATAAAATAATCCATATTCTTAGTTCTTATGCATGCGAACTCAACTTTTCCATTAAAATTACTTAACGGTGTTAGCATAAGTCACCTATGTGAAAGTTAATGTCATGTTTAATAATGACCCATAATGTAAATTACTCGTGGAATTCTGTTGTCAAATAATCCATGTTCTTAGTTCTTATGCATGCAAACTCAACTTTTCCATTAAAATTACTTAACGGTTTTAGCATAAGTCACCTATGTGAAAGTTAATGTCATGTTTAATAATGACCCATAATGTAAATTACTCATGGAATTCTGTTGTCAAATATTTTATGCCTATAGGCAAATCCCAAGGCCTTTTACCTGCTTGTAATTGACAAATATACAACCAGAACCAGCTTGTCTTTTATCTAATCATGATTCGTGTAAGCCTCAAGAAAATGTTAATTTGTTTTGTTCTTCACCGGTCTTTATAGAATATATTTTTGGGGGCTTTTGCCTATTTTTTCTTGGATAAACCAGTATATTGAGTTGCTTATGTTCTATGCAAGTTCTGACCCTTTTTATTTTTAACTTCTTTAAATAATATATGCATTATCAAAACCTGGAAAAGAAACTGACAGCTATTACTCCCTTTATTATGTTTTGTATAATAACCAAATATTTTGCAAGTTTGAACACTATTTTCCATATGGCAACCACTTATAAACTCCATTACTTGATTTTTGCATTTCAGGTCTCAAGTCAATTTTCGTACTTGTCATAGTATCTTCTCTGTTACCTTAGAATTTGATTATCAGCATTTATTGATGATTGACTTTGTTCTAATAGCATGAAAAAGAAAAAGAACCCTCGGAATTTTCATTACCTCCAGTGTGGAAACTTTGTTATTAATTTAATGGGACCTATGAAAATGCAAACACACAATTATAATTATGTTCCTGTTATAGGCATATTGATGTTTTGTAGACATGACCTCTAAAGGTTATGAACATTTCAGCAGTTCTGAATATTTTTGGATCTTGGAATGTTATGACACCCTGTATGAATGTTCTATTGTTTCTATAAAAAATGTGGCTTTTTCTTGGGTCTTCATGATTGTAATCTTCTCCTTTCTTTGTAGTTGCATTAATTATACAAGGTACTAAGTTTGTTTCTAATAAGCACATATTTGTAAATTACTAGGTTCATGTGATGGATATGTCTGATGCGGTCATAGTAAATTCGAGCAGATTGAAATCTATTGTCTGGAACGACTTCGATAGGGTGAAAAAGGGTGACACCTTTGTGGCCATTTGTAGGCATTGTAAGAAGAAACTTAGCGGATCAAGTACTCGTGGAACCTCGCATCTGAGGAACCATTTAATTAGGTGTCAAAGAAGATCCAATCATGGCGCAGCTCAATACTTTTCTGCTAAAGAGAAGAAAAAGGAAGGTTCTCTTGCCCTTGTAACTATTGATCAAGAGCAGAAGAAGGATGAAGTCCTTAGTATTGTAAATCTGAGATATGAACAAGAACGGATTAAAAATGAGCATGTTAGCATTGGTAGTAATAGCTTGGATCAAAGGCGGAGCCAATTTGATCTTGCCCGCATGATCATATTGCATAACTATCCATTGGCTATGGTAGAGCATGCGGGGCTCAAGATATTTGTCAGGAATCTACAACCCTTGTTTGAACTTGTGACATGTAATAAAGTTGAAGCTGATTGCATAGAAATCTATGTGAAGGAGAAGCAAAAGGTGTATGAAATTTTTGATAAGTTACCTGGAAAAATTAGTGTATCTGCTGATATGTGGACTGCTTCAGATGGTGCTGCTTCGTACCTGTGTTTGGCAGCACACTATATTGATGGGGATTGGCAGTTAAAAAAGAAGATTTTAAATTTTGTTACCATTGATCCCTCTTATACAGAAGACATGCACTCAGAAGTTATAATGAATTGTCTAATGGAGTGGGATATAGATCGGAAGTTGTTTTCTATGATATTTGATAGTTTTTTGCCAGTGAAAACATTGTTGACAGAATCAGAGATCGGCTGTCGCAAAATAGGTTCCTTTATTGTAATTGTCAACTATTTAATTTTCGATGTGCCATAGATCTTCTCAACCACATGGCTCATGATGTCATGGAAGCGATCTGTGAAGTTACCCAGAAAATAAGGGGAAGTGTTTGCTATGTTAAAAGCTCAGAAGAAACACAAGCGACATTCAATGTGCTGGCTGACGAAGTTCAGGCTGAAACTAAAAAATGTTTATGTATTGATAACCCGCTGAAATGGAACTCGACATATTTTATGCTTGAAGCTTCCTTAGAATACAGGAAAGTTTTCTCTTGTCTACGTGATCGTGACCCTGTCAACAGGAAGTTTCTCCTATCTGATTTAGAATGGGATAGACTGAGTACCATTACTAGCTTCTTGAAGCTGTTTGTTGAAGTTACTAATGTTTTTACGAGAAGCAAGTATCCAACTGCGTATTTTTCCCCGAGATCTGTGATATTCATTTTAAGTTGATCGAATGGTGCAAGAATTCTGATGAATGTATCAGTTCCTTGGCTCTAAAGATGAGAAAGAAGTTTGAAGAGTACTGGGATAAGTGCAATGTTGGTTTAGCAGTTGCTGCTATCTTAGATCCTCGATTCAAAATGAAGCTCTTGGAGTATTACTACCCACAATTATATGGCGACAGTGCTTCGGTGTTTTTTTTTTTTTTTGGATAAGTAAGTTTTATTATACAAGAAAGCATAAACCTGCTACAAAATAATCCAATGAAAGGAACAAAATAAGGGGAACCTATACACCAAAATCAAGCTATACCCCATTGATTACAAAGAAATAAATTAGTGTTATCTAATCTATTGATAGATCTATTGCTTAGATAAAGACCTATAGTTTTCTTAATAGATTGAACTATATCATCCTCTGATCTGCTAATGCCACTGAAAGTCCTACGATTCCTTTCTTCCCAAATGGTGTAAATGAATGCACACCACGACAGTTTAAGAATGACAGTAATTAAAGATTTTCCATTCCATGTCGCTGTCGCCCAAACCATAAGACTGGACCAAGAGAATGGAGGTTTACTGATGCCTAATAGCAGAAGAATGGAATTCCAGATTGAAGAAGAAACTTTGCATTCAGCAAAAAGATGGTTTCTAGTCTCACTACCTTCAGAGCAAAAGATGCACAGGTCATTAGTGATTAAGCCGAACCTGAGCAGCCTTTCTTTGGTGGGGAGACGATCCAGAATAGCCATCCATGAGATGAGGTTGTGTTTTGGTATGTGAAGGGGAAACCAAGTGATTTTCTGCCAATGAACCCTGCTTTCTTTCCTACGAACCTGCTCCCAAATATTCTTAGAACTAGTAACTCTTGTAATTAGAAGAGGATAAGCGATACTTCGAAGCTTCAAGATTTTCCTTAGACTCCAGCTGCAAGAAGAACGTTCATCCATGAACCAAAAGTTAGAATGCTTTATAATATAACATTGTATCCATGCGACCCAAAGGGAGCCATCCCCGGCAAGGATTTTCTTGATAAGGAGGATCAAGCACACTCTATTCCAGGTTTTAATGTCTTTAAGGCCTAAACCTCCTTTAGACTTAGGAGTGCAGATCGTGTCCCAACTAACCCGAGCACCAGTAGCTGGAATATCCGACCCTTTCCAAAAATATCTAGAACACACTTGCTCAATTTTGTTGATAATGGATTGAGGCAGCACAAGTTGTCTACACCAGTAATTAGCAACACTAAAGAGGACGGATTTAATAAGTTCAAGCCTACCCGCGTAACTTAGTTTAATCCTAGACCATTTGTGAAGTTTGGCTTGAATCTTGTCAATAAGAGGCTGGCAGTCTTTAATAGAGAGCTTCCTGGTGACCAAGGGGATACCTAAGTATCTTACAGGCAGACGCCCATGATGAAAACCAGAAGAATTAATGAGATTTTGAATAGAGGGAACAGAGATGCCAGCCGTGAAGATCTCACACTTGAGAGCATTAAGTTTAAGCCCAGAAAGCTCATAGAAATAATCCAGAACAGAAACAACACCCATGACAGAATCAAGGTTACCTTTGCAGAAAATTAAGAGGTCATCGGCAAAAGTAAGGTGAGTGAGGCCTATTTTCTTGCACTTGGGATGGAAGCTAAAAATTCCTCTGTCAGCTGCTTTATTAAGGAGATTGGATAACACATTCATGACCAGAACAAACAACAGATGAGATAAAGGGTCTCCCTGTCTAAGACCCTTAGCTCCTTTGAAATAGCCAACCAAACTACCATTAAATGCGATGGAGTAGGAGGCATTAGTGTAGCAGGAAGAAATCCATTCAATGAGAATACTTGGCATCTCTAAGGCATTGAGGATGATAGGAATGATGCCCCAGTGAATAGAATCAAAAGCTTTTTGAAGGTTCATTTTAAGAGCACACCGAGGAGAAATATTCTTTCTCATATAGCCTTTCACAATTTCTTGAGCTAGGAGAGTGTTATCAACAATACTCCTCCCTTTGACAAAAGCAGTTTGATTAGGAGAAATAAGCATAGGCATTAAATTGGAAATCCTCTTCACAATGATTTTAGTAATGGTCTTGTATATAACAGAACAACAGGAAATAGGGCAGAAATCTGAGACTTTGCAAGGGTTTGGGATTTTAGGAACAAGAGCTATAGTTGTTGCATTGAAACCAGGGAAGATGTAAGATTCTTGAAAGAAATAGTTAATGGCTTCGATCACATCTTCTTTAATAACAGTCCAAGATTTCTTAAAGAAAAGAGGAGTATAACCATCAGGACCGGGAGCTTTATCATTGCCTTGATCAAAAAGAGCTTCTTTAATTTCCTCAACGGAGACATTCTTAGTGAGCCCCTCGAAGCTTCGGTGTTTATTGATGAAGCTTTTGAGTGTATTAAATTGCTTTACCACGAACATTTTATTGTCTCCCCTTTATCTTCTTCCGTTGATCAGGGACTGGATTGCCAAGCAAGTGGTATTCCCAGTTCCACAAAAGATTCTAGGGATATGTTACTGGGGTTCGACAAGTTCCTTCATGAAACTTCTCAACCTGAGGGTTCTAATTCTGATCTAGATAAGTATCTGGAGGAACTGGTGTTTCCTCGTAATATCGATTTCAACGTATTGAATTGGTGGAAGGTTCACACTCCACGGTATCCTATCTTATCTATGATGGCACGCAATATTCTAGGGATTCCCATATCCAAAGTTGTATCAGAATCAATATTCGACACCGGCAGAAGAGTGCTCAGTCATAACTGGAGTTTGTTGACTACTATTCAAGCCCTCATGTGTGCACAAGATTGGATACGGAGTGAACTCGAAAGTTAGTTTTTGCTGCCCTTTGATAAGTTGGGAGGTTAGGCATCCTTTCTGTAGCTGATATTTTGTCAATAATTCTGTGTTGCATTATTAGAAAATTAATGGGTTATTGTGACCAAACTCCATATTAATTCCCATATTTATGCTGGTCTGAATCTGTTGTAAGTGAATTAGTTGTACAGTGTATGGAATGCCTTACTTAAGCCCTCCCTGTCTTGATGCTTGTGTCATTAACACCGTAAAGTGAGCTTCACAGAGGAAGGTGCAGGTTTAGGTATAAAGATGATATCCAGCTCACAATTTAGTCGAATTCTTTGAGAAAAACTTGAATTTTGCTCAACAATGCCTCGAATTCTGGTGCGGCAATGTATGATTCGAAATCAAATCAATCTAGACTTTAAAAATTTAGACCAATAAGAAAAGAAAATGTTAAATCCAGAAGAACAACTGTGCTAAAATAGCAGCAGAATAAATCACGTGAAAGCGCTCGTTTTTCAATTGTCATCGGGTTGCTCATAGCCCATGCGCAATTGTCACAACATGCAGATTTAGGTTCGGAATACATGTGCAAGTATCTGTCAAAGAGGTTATGTGTGGATTATCGGGTTTGTCAATATCATTAGATTTGGTTCATTACTAATGTTAGAGACTCCATTCACGCTGACCTTGCGGAAAAAGCAAGTGACATTATATTAAGGAGGATTATGGAGAAATCTTTTCATATTTACAGAAATCTTCAATTTAAGGAAAGAATTGGATTAATTGATGTAATTAGATGATGATTGATATTGATTCCTTGGGGAAGGGGACCTAGCCGAAGAAATAAATTGATCTAGACCATTCATTGTATGGGAGCTCAATTATATTGGCTCCTCATCTCATTTATAACCACTTTATTCCATTACTTTCGGAATAATAGAAGAGTATTTTACTCTAACTTCTTTTTTACTGCTTTGTTCTTCGTTCTATATTATCTTGTTGACTCTCTTGGTGGTTATAGTAGTCTCATTGGTGTTTATACTTCTGCATCTATCAAAGCCTTGAGGGTTTGTTTGAACCTTAGCTCACGTTTTCACAAAGCAGGTTTTTAGGCTTACTTAGGTGCCCAAATGATTGAGGAGCGTTCAAGGTTGCATGTTTCGCTAGGCTAAAATTCTTGGGGCATGACAAGTGGTATCGAAGCGAGTTGAGGGGACTTACAGTTGAACCAACTTACAACTGTAGTCAAGCTCGATGAATAGTTACATTCGAGCTAGTCCTGATTGTGATTGAGTTGGTTTATGACAAATGAGTGATCGAGATGTAACAACAAAGAGTTGATGTTTTCACACGAGAAGACATGAAGAGATGTGATGAGAAACTATAGAGGATATTGTCGAAGGTCAAGATAAACACTACTCTTGATGAATTTGATAAAAATAGTCATTTTCTCAAGTCTCGGGTAGTAGATTTGTAGGATGCTTCATTGTTGTTGGACAAAAGGGTCGCTAGATTCCCAAAATCCGAAAAAGAGGTTAATGAGACCCAAGGTATTATGGAGTTACGTCTTAACAAGTTAAAGTCCATTGAGGAAAAATTCAAGGACAAGACACAACGTATTCTCCACGAATTGAAGATGGTCCAAAAGAGTGATGCTCGAGAAATCGAGATAGAGGTTTTGAGGAACAAGATGGATGAGCAAAAACCAACCCTAACATAACCATAAAAAAGGGATGATCTGGAGTGGATTGGAGGTTGTTGTGATTTTGGGTTCCCTTGTTGTGTCTTATATTTATGGAAACAACAACCTCTATAACCCATATCATCCAAGCATGTAAAATCTCATAAAAATTGAGTGACGGGCCAAATAGAGGAAGAACTATAAACCAACCATTAGGGGTGTGCATTATCGGATATCGGATATTATCCGATCCGAATTTTCGGATATCCGAAAATTTCGGATACCTAAAATAATGATCCGTATCCAATCCGAAAAATCGGATATCCGAAAATTCGGATTGGATATCCGAATATCCGGATCCGAATCCGATTTTAGTCCTCCACGCCAATCCTTCCCAAGTTTACTCAACATGAATGACCTATGGATTTCTTACCAACAGTTGTATCTAGCCTCCATACCTCACAACAATAGAAATAGTTGTAAGTCGATCATACACAACATCGAAGAGATTGGGATCTC